CACCATCACCACCGGACTCGGAAACGAAGTCGAAGCTGTGTGCGAATAAATATGTAATATATGTAATATCGTGAATGAATATCCTTCGAGCGTTATTTTTCGCGATCGCGAATCTCGTTCTTTAATTAAGTAGAATGTTCCCGCGTTTGTTCAGACGTGACGCATTGTCAAACGTCATTCACTTCGCATCTACCGTTAACGGTCAGCACTAATTGTCCGTATTACAGTGAGTATTTAACACGCTCGTAATTAATATCGCTCGGTGTCAACAACGGCAAAATCTAGCCATCTAGATTCTAGACGATCGACAATTCGCGCTTATCGTAAGAACGATATCTCACGTTGATAAGAAAAAAAAAAAAAATTGAAATCGTCGTCTGGTATTATTAAATTTACTAATTACTGTATTTAATGTCATTTATCCTTATCTGTATGCTCAAATTAATTTCCGTTTTACTTTCGTTTGTATAAATAGGCCTTCCCGTATATCATGCTAAATAAATATAATAAATAAATAAATAAAAATAAATATAATAAATAAAAATAACTAGTTATCGGAGGAAAAAAAGACACGATGATGGAGTGAATAGCGAATATTGTTCCGTGTCATTAAATTATTATCCATCACTGTATATAATATACACGGTTCATATATCGCTAAATTACTGGTGTATATTACATGCTTTATAGCCGTGTATTATATACGTGATCCGGAAATAAAGCGCGAATATCTCGCTAACTACGATGACAAGTCGATCGACGTCGGTGGAGAGAATCGACGACCCCACAAGTTCGCCAGAGCTTATAACATAACCGATATCGATCTCAAGCCGAGCTCTCGACGAGCTCTCGGGCCTGACTTTGCCAACGTCGATTGACGCTAATCACAATCAGTTAACCGTAACTATCTATCGCTCTCTATGCCAGTGCTATAATCACAGATTCTCCATCTCTATCGCGTATGTTGGAAAAAAGAGACGGAGAATCCCGATCGGTCACCTACGACGATAGTTGACCTTTAAACTCGACGAGAGGCTTCTACGTCCTGCTCCAATTATCTTTTTCCAACGACGACTTGTCAATTTCAGATTTAATTATATCAATAATTCTTTAATGTCAAATATAAAAAGTTGAACCTCTCGTGATTCGATTCAATTATCTACGACAAAAAGAGAGATGAGAAGAGAGACGGATGGGAAACGAAAGGGGAGATCTCGCTTTCGAGACTCACCCTCGTCGTCAACGGACTCGTCCGGCGTTGACGAGCAGGTCTGGCCGTCCGGCTGGATCAGCTGCGTCCGCCTTGCGTCGCGTAGCCGGGTAAAGAAGTCCACGGCGTAGTCGATGATGTCGCCTGGTTGCTCCAACAGATAGCTGATCGTGAACTCCAGCAGGACGTCGCGCAGATCGTCCGGCACCGTGATCTTGCCGACGTTACGTTGACAGCTCATCTTGGGCCTAACCGATCCTATCCTCACGTCGATCCTTCTAATCGCTCCTCGCTCAACCTTGTCAAAGCTTTCCCGCTCCTCACTTCAACGCCTCGGCTCCTCCGAAGCGCTGTCGCGCGACGCGAATCGTCCACGGTTAACGGCACGTCACGTCGATGCCGGGATCAGGTGTGAAACGTCAAAGGACCGCCTACCTTCGGCGCGCTCTGTTGCCTGTCTGGCTGGCTCTCTCCCGTCGCCGGCCACCTCCTCTCGTCCACCGGCAAGATCCGTTGCCCGTTCGCCGACGAAGCTCCCCGGCCGCTTCCCGGTGCCGCGCGCTTACTCTCCGCACGACGGGGAGAGGGAAGGACGGGGAGGGAGGGCTACCTGCCTGCCGAGACGACGATGCGCACAGTCGCGCGGAACGTACGACGCGTACCCCGACAAGGAACCGATCGCGGTCGCTAAGATGGCGACTGATAACATCCGCGTCGTGTGTAGCGCTGCGGGCTGCGGGTCGAGTGAAGCCGTGAAGTTTCAGTCGAATTCGGCCTCGGTCGTTGAGTTCGATTCGAGTGTCAATCGATGATAGGCTATGTTCGTTCCAATCGCACATTTCAATTTCTCTTTCCCTTTCAAAGAATG